CGGATTATGATATAACCCGATATGGCTAGAAATATAGAAACTACAAAATTGCATAAGAAAGCTTAGATCAGAAAAATTGCATCTGTGTCAGAAAATCCTGTATCTGGAAATTAAGGGAAATTATATATGTATCTGGCATTCATGTCTGCATAATCATCAAATCAGGATATCGACTCATGTAACTTGAAGAAAGTAGAGAACCATAGAAAATCTGACATCATAAGAATCATGGTGCATATATCATGTGTGTGGTCTGATCGGTGTGCACAACCAATAATGGTGCATCTGAGGGTAGTAAAATCATAAAAACATGAAATCCATAAAACATGTCGGGCGCTACTGCACTGTGTAATCTATACTGAGGGCTGCCGCCATTCCCTCAACTAGACTGACACAGTTTGCGACCTCTATAATACTCTGGAATCCTCAACGGGATTCAAATACTATGTTATGTCATATACAGTGATGCATGTAGAACTACTACCTGCCCCGGGTGGTTGCCCGCCATTTAACTCTAGTGCCGAAGCACAAAACATCAGAAAAATCATAAATATCATCAAATCCATCATATGGCTAAAATCAGAACATAACTGACTTGTTTCCATTTTTATATATTAACATAGAACATCTTTGGAAATATAGATTTTATTTACTAGAAAACATATTTTGAAAAATAAACTAAGATTAGGAAGATGCCACTCACCGTTGCTAACCCTGTGTATGCTTAGAACCAATTCTGTCAGCTTCACTACTTGATTTGTGAACTTCTCCTAATATGGAACAATGTATATGATCAATGGCATGCCCTAATTATGGATGAATGAATAAGTACATGAGTGTACGTGTTGAATAACATTATAACTACGTTCTCTCTTTTCTTCACTACTTTTAGGTCACATTATCTCCCATGTATGTGGTCCAAAAATTCTAAAAATATTAATGTACAACAATTATCAACTTATGTATTCTAGTTTATGTTCACGTTCGAGAAATGTGCTATAGTTATTTTTTTTTAATAAAAAATAATCTCCAAACAGGTAGGTCTAGCTTTAAGTTAGATTTTGATAATTTCCTAGCCTAAATTGGCCTCAAATGCATTAGGTTAACTTAGTCCCTCCTTAAACTCTTGTCTAGACTTGTTTTCAGCCACTACTTTGGGTTCAAGTCTCATTTAATCTCATATATTTTGCAGTAAATTACAGCTTTTTAGCAAGAACCATTAACCTCACAAATTAGCCAAGGTGCTTACTTAACTTGAATCAATCCTTAAGATTAATTTGGCTTTTATTTCTTTACTAAACCTCCCCTCTTTTACTCACTAAAATATTCACTAACCCACCAACTAATTAAGTCTTGAGCTAACCAAAATTTTGAGAGATACTCGGCTGCACATAAGCTTCCCATTTAGTTACCTAAATTCTATTCAGAAACCACCAACACTACTAAGCTACGTCCTCTTATATTCCAATCTACTCCTCTACCTCTTAAACTCAAGTTGATTCATTTTTCTCCTTTACTTTCAGTGAGAAATCAAGTGCTCAATTCACTTACTCAGACCACAAATCTTACAGAAAATTTGCAATATGGGCAAGAAACCAGAAAATTTTTCTGTTGCTAAAAATCTCGGAATTTCTAACATATTTATAGTAAAATATCAATATCTGGAGCTACAAAACTCAGAATGACCCAATTCAAAAAGGGTTTTAAAGCTAACTTGATGGGATGTAATTTTCATGTTTTAGTCTTAATCTAATTCTGCCTGCAGGAGGTCCGAAACTGGCCTGTAATTTGAGTTAATGGTATAAAAACTTTATTGGACCTTTGTTCGGTATTTAGGCTATAACTAAAGCTATGCAACTCAGATAGATATCATTCAAGTTGGGTTTTAAAGATATTCCAAAGACTCACAACTTTGTTGTTTTGACCTACTCCTAATTTTGAGCAGAGTGGGGCCGAATCCAGCCCCAAATTGAATCAAAGTTATCACCTAACCTACAATCAACAGTTTTGGACATGTTTTCAGTGAAATGCTCATAACTTATGCTAGAATGATCAGATTGAATTGATTCCAGAAGCTATGGTTTGTAAACTTGAAAGTCTAAAATTTTCATGTTTTGACCCCAGCCTAATTCAGAATAAAAACTGTCAAGAATTGCCCAGAGAGTGGCCACAAATTCCACAACAATCACAAAAATACAAGATTCTTTAAGCACACAAGGCTCCAAACTAGTTTCCTTGAATTTTCCTAAATTTCTCACCTTTTTTTTTTTCTCCCTGATTTCAGCTCCCCCCCTTGCTCACAACGAATTTCACAGCCAGCCATAAGACACGTAATTCTTCAAGCAACTTAAATTCTAAGCTAGTTTCCTTAAGTTTTTCAAAGTTGCAAAACTCTTTCTTTTTCTTCTTTTTTTTTTTTTTTCACTTGCAGGTTCGGACACCTCTGTTCGGCTGCCTATACTTCATCAAATCTTGATTTTAGGTAGATTAGATAATAACGAATTGAAGATAATAGTTCAATATAAGAAATTTCTAAATCAAAAGCATCAAGTTTCCCCAAAAGAAAATTTAAAGCCTTACCTTGTCTCTCCCGCCTTTCTTCTTTCCTTCTTCTTTTCTTTCTCTATTTGCTATGTTTCTTTTGTTTCTGCACTGGCTCGCAGGTCCTAGAGACTTCAAGATCCTTGATTTTAAACAGATTTCTCTTTTTCTTTTTTTTTTCTTTTTTTTTGGAGCTTGGCCGAAAATTTGTAGAGGAGCTAATATTTGAAATGGTCAACAAGCATTAAATGATTGTAGACACTCACTCTCCTCTCATTGGATCTCTCCTTGACTTTCTTAAGATTATTACTTTATTCTTTAGTTCTTTCCTTCACTTTTTTTTTTGTACACTTATATATGCACGTGGTGCTTGCTGCTCTTCTTTTATTTTTTTTTCCAATTTTATCCCTAACCTTTTCTAATAATTACCCTCATATCCCTTGACTCAAAATTTGACTCTCTCTCTCTCTCTCTCTCTCTCTCTCTCTCTCTCTCTCTCTCTCTCTCTCTCTCTTTTTGTCCTACGAAAATTTATAAAAGCTCTCTTCTAATCCTCACCAATATAAGTCTTACACAAAATAAATGTCATATTTAATAAGTCTTAAATTATCTAATTGTTTTTCATCACCTTTGTCTACATTTTTAACTCATTTATTACTTCTCTAATTTTCTTTTCTAACTTTATTTCCAATTCTCTTTTCTATACCTTCGTTAATATCTATTCAAGTCTCCTAAAATTTTATTCCCTCTCTTAAGGTTATAAACAAGAGAAAATAAAATTATTTTTCTCATATTTTAATTACTTTTAATATGTATGGGATACAGTGTATATGAAAGGATTAGATATTCTAAACTTAGTTTGGGAGGTCACACCCTCACTCAAAGAAATTTGTTCCATTGTTACAAATATCACTTTCGAAATAAATAAGCAATTAGATATTTTAACATAATAGTCAATTATTACAACTATTTTTTCAAATATTCATTTATCAACTTTTTCTACTATTCAACAGAATTTACAAACATTCTCAATTTCTCTATTTTAGCACTTTTTTTAATTGTTTCTAAAATCTAACATTTTTTTTAAAAAAATAGTAACTTTCACAAAGAAACTCTAAACCCACCTCATAAATAAAGTACTTTTGCTCTACAACATAGGTTCAGTTCAACTCTATCTTTTCAAAAATTAAATTTTCAAACCAGATTTTCATTTTTATATGAGAATTTCTTGAATAAATCCCAATATACTCCCTGATTTCAAAATGTTAATTTTTTGCCCCCTCTATTTTGGAGAAGCAGAAAGTCTCTCTAAAGTTTTAATAACTAATTAATCTAAAATTTAGTCCAAATTATAGGATATTTGCGAGATTAGCTGCTTAATTTCTGACCCTTCTCTGATTTATTAAAAAAGTTTAAATAAAATATTATACCAAATTTCCTCTCATTCATTTCCTTCTTATTATCAATATTTAAATTCCAACTTTACCCTTTGGTCCTTTTGAATAATTTATCATAGAGATGAATTGTTAATTTTTTTCTCCCAAAATGAGCTCGCAACAAAAATAATTGAATACTTTGAGAATTCACGTTTGTTATTTGTAATTATTTCAAGTTTATGTAGCTACATAATAGATTTTTTATATATCTACATTGCAATTGCCCCGAATAGAATTTACGAAATTAGCTGTTGAAAAAGCATTTTGCATGTGATGCACATCATTTTTGCAGTTATAGAATATATTTACTTTCAAAATTTTTAGGTGATAGCCCAGAGTATAATCAACACAATAATACCACCTCCATTTTCAATATAAACTTCAATCTTTGCACACATCGAACTTTTTGAACAAAATCTTTGATGCCACAGAATCAGAGAAGAGCACTGACTTTATCAATTGCACAAGCTTTTATCAGAGTAACAGTGGTGTGCAGACGGTATTGGCTCAATCGATCAGAATGTAGTAAAGCCGCATAACAGCAGAATCCTGCTTGCTTTGTTTCAATCGAAATGGCAGTGATGAACGACACTAGCTTGATCGGAATGCTGTTAAATCATAGAAGTACACTAACATAATGGGCCAACAATTAATGTAACTTTCGAGATGAAGATGATCGGTCTCATGACAAAGAAGGTGAACAAAGCATTTGTTGCTCTCTTTGGCGTATATTTTCATAGTTTACATTTTAGTTCCTTGAGATTTTTAAAACAGTCCTTCAATATTATTTTTTATTTCAAATTCTTAATTACCTCCTCAACTTTGAATTTATTTTAATTTTATTTATAAATGTCTAATTTATTCGTACAGGTCTTTCACTGGGCCAACGCAGTGCGTCTGTAGGGCTGATTTTTTTTTTTTTTTTGGGGGGGGGGGAATTAATTTATATAGTAATTATATTATATTAATTTCTTTTTTTTTAATTTTTGTTTTTGGGAGAGGGGTGTAGGGGTGGGCTGTCCTTCATTGTCCATGGTTTGGGGGGCGGCTATTGGCAGCTGAGACCCTTGAACCCCACAGAAGCAGCTCTTTGCTAGTGTCATCCTTGTGAACTATCACTTCTATGAAGCACAAGCAGTCTTTCTTCGCCTCAGTTGCAGTCTGGATGGCTTCGATAAGCTGTTCCTCGTTGAACACCTGCAGTGGAAGAGTTATTCAGAGAATGATTCTCATTATGGGAAATATATGGTAAATTAATTGAAGCAAGTGGTTATTTTGGGTTTAAGGCTTTACCTTGGCCGTCCAGCATTTGCCTTCGTCGTTAAAGATGGCATCCACGAGGCCAGTGTAGTCCCAGTTCTTGATGATGTTGTAAGGGCCGTCATGGATCTCCACCTCTATGGTGTATCCTCCGTTGTTTATCAGGAAGATGATAGTTCTTTGCCCGCACCGTATCATGGTCGACACATCTTGTGCTGTCATCTGCCAAGGATTTGAGCCAGACAGAAAGTGTCAACGCCAAGTAATGGACGGTTTTGCATTTCTAATAGGGAAAGATCAAACAATAAGAACTACTTGAAGGAATGTTTGGTTTGAAATAATACAATAAGCCACAAATTAGAGGAAGTTTGGTTAATTAAATGAATGATTAAATAAGTTTGGTTGACCTTGGGGAATTAAAAAAGGAAAAAGAAACACCCAAAAACTTCCTTGAAACCAAATAACCTTTATATATACAACATATGCAACTAACAAGCACATGCACGACTTACCTGGAAGCTACCATCGCCAATGCAGGCAATCACTCGCTTATCCTTTGCAGCCTGAGCATAGCCAAGAGTTGCCCCCACAGACCACCCAATTGACCCATACTGCATCTGGAACTCATACCTGCAAAGCCCAATAATTTTCCATAAAATATATTTAGAAAAACTCTAAAATCAATCATCAAAGTAACCACTTACCCACATCCTTCCGGCAACTTGAGCTTTTGACAATTAAACCAGGAGTCCCCTGTTTCCGCAATCACCGCGCTCTCACCAGACAGCATGTTCTGAATGTGAAAGAACATCCTGTTCACCTTCAATGGCTCCTTCGGATTGCCATTTGGAGGCTTCCCTTCCGGCACGTAAATCCTATAATTTGTGTAAACTCATATTTATTTGTCATATTTGCATATTTACACTGGTTAAATCCGTGTTCAGCATGCAACATCTACAAATATTATTAAATCTATTCATTGCCAAAAAATTAAGATTTTTTAAAATTTACCACTCTACCTGAAGTAATTATCGTAGGCTGTGGCATTGAAATCGAGCCTCTTCGCCAGAGCTCTAAGGAAGTCCTTCATCAGAACGCACCCAAAAGTAGGCCCATTTGCAATTACAACTCGATCCGGCTGCACTATAATCGCCTTCTCCTTCTTTAAAAGTAGAGAGTAACCTACAGAGCTGTAGTCGTTGAAGATGGGTCCCGCGAAGAGGTAAGCATCGGCTGACTCGACGAACTCAGCACAGAACGTCGTGCTCACTGCGCCCCAGTAAGTTCCGATGAACCGACGGTGGTGCTCCGGCACAAGCCCCTTGGCTGATGGCATCACCGCCAGCGGGTACCCACACGCGTCCGCCAATTCGACTAAGGCGTCGCAAGCATTGGCCACTCGTAGCTTAGGACCTCCGACTAATACTGGTTTCACCGCCTTGTTTAGGAACTCAGCTGCTGCCGCCACCGCCGCCTCCAAACCCATCTGGTTACTCATTCTATACACCACTCACAAGCATCAAAGTCACATGATTGTGGTGAAAACAGAGAATTATTTATGTAATTATTTTATTTATTTTTATGAAAAGAAAACTTGGCTGCTGCCTAATCAAGCTGGTACGTCTGGTTTGCTACCATATATGATACTCCTACGAAAAGCTAATGGGTTTTTGTCTTTTTTCCTTTCTAATTTATTGATTTTATTTTTCTATTCTAACATTTTTGAATCATTTTTTAAAATTGTTTTTCTTAATTTAAATAAAAGTTTGATATTACAACTATTCCTAAACTAAAAAAATCTTTTTTTATTGAGGATCTGAATTAATATTAATTTAAAAATAGTTAAATTAAATAAAATTGATATTACAAATTATCATAAAAAATTATGTTTTCTTATTTATATTAATTAACAATAATAAAGTAGTATATAAATGCTAAATTATAATATCTAATAGAATTAAAAATAATATTCAATTACACGTAATTGTTATGTGATCCCATAAGTTGAAAACGAAATTTATAAAAAATTTCTGAAAAAAATATTTTTATGAAAATAACCATCTTGCTTTCTCTTGTTGTTAGATAAAGTTTGAAGCTGAATCTTCTTACAATATATAAAGAAAAAAATTAATTATATTAGGGTAAAAAACACTCCTCTCATTCCAGATTTACTTAAATAATATTCATTTATATTTTTATCATAATTTTTTTTTTTTCCTTTGACTAACTGTTAATTAACGAATTCTTAATGAATTTGTTAAATAAAATGTAAAAATAACTCAATTTTGAACAATTTAGTTATCAATCTAATTAAAAATTAAAATATTATTTCATTCACTTATTTTTCTAAATCTATACTTTAATTTTTTTAAAGAATCTAATTTTTTGATAATTTATTTTTGTTGTTTTTTAATTATTAAATAATATTTATTTTATTATATTTTAATTTTTATTTTAAATTTTAAAATAAGAATAATTGAGTGTCATTTTAATTAAGAAAAGGGCAGAGTGTCATTTAAACTTAAAAAAATTTTAAAAAAAATCAGAATATCATAAAATAAAAATTTTAAAAATAATAAAATTAGGTCATCAAAAATTATATTTTTTTATTAATTTTACTTTAAAAAATTAAAATTTTAAATAAAATAAATAATATTTTAATTTTTAATCACATAAATAATACGAGCTGATGAAATGAGATTATATTCGACTGGTTTTTAATAAAATTATTAAATAACTGTTACATAATTAATTAAAGAGATAAGAATAAGTTAAATGTCATTTAAATTTTTGTAAATGGAATATATTTTATTAATTAACTTAAAAAATTATGAAATATTAAAAAAATGCATAACAAATAAATGTGGGAGTTTGTCTTGGCTTCTGCCTTTTCCTTTATTCGTGGGAGACAGTGGATTTATTTATTCCGACAAAATGACAGAGCGAGCAGGAGGAAACTGTTCAATGGAAACTAAGTAGATACCGACGGTGCAAGGAGATAGCAAACAGAGCCTTACTTGGGGGCGAGAGAGAATGTGACTGGCTCGCGGCTAAAAGTGGGATGGGGAATCGCCACCAGGTTACAACTTATGCTGATATAAACGGGCTTGCTTTCTTTCAAAGCTGTCGAAATCGCAGTATCGATCAGTTCATGCGCATCCTCCAAGTTATTCACCACAGCCTAAAATCATCACAGGCACAATTCAATAAAAGGATTCCACTCCGCTGACATGAGTTTACAAACTTGAAACTCTCGTTCTATGCTGTACCTGGTAGCAAGTAACGGGCTGAAAGCAGCGAAGCTCTTGGGTGAAATCGGGAAGCCCAATGGTGTGATGAAGGATTCTGTTAGTACCGTAATCGTTGGAGTTGGGACCCCCGACGATGCAGATGACGGGGAGGTCCTCGCTATATGCTCCCGCGATGGCGTTGAGGATGCTAAGGCCACCAACAGTGAAGGTGACGACGGCGGCGCCGACGCCGCGGGACCGGGCGTAGCCGTCAGCGGCATAGCCGGCATTGAGCTCGTTGCAGCACCCGATGACATTGAGCCCCGGCTCAGCGATGAGGTGGTCCAGGAGGGTAAGATTGAAGTCACCCGGGACAGAAAACACGTCGGTGGCGCCGATCTGGACTAGACGACGGGCGAGATGGCTGCCCAGAGTCGAGTTGGCCGAGTTAAGCGAGGCCGGGACGGGGGCCGAGTTCTTTATAGCGTAACCGGCACCGTTCTGAGGCCGAGAGCCCACGTCATTGCAAGTGGTGGCCTTACACGCGTCCACTGATGCAATCCCTGTATCCATCACTAAAAGGTGATTGAACACGTAGATGTTCAGAGAGATAAAGCAAGTTGGCAATCTATGATGCGAGATGGTGGTTTAGTGCGAGAGACGAGGAAAATGGAAGAGAGATTTATAAGGCTGATGGGAGAAGAAGGGAAGAAGCATGGGAGGCTCCGTTGAAGGAGGTGAACAAAAATCAAATTTTGGAAGATAATAAGAAAAAATAAATTATTGGAAATAAATTTTTTAAAAAATTATACGGCATAAAAATTTCAAAAATAATTAGATTCAAAATAAATTTTAAAAAAAATGAAATAGTTTTTTTTAAATAAGAGAACATGAATTTTAAATTTCTTAAAACTCACCAGTTGATAAAAGTTTTATAAAATAACTTGAAATATAAAAACTGAGTTTGAAACTCAAATTCAATCTCAAATCAAACTTAAAATTTAGGGAACGAATTTCAGAAAACAGGTTTATGAAATTTCACGTTTAAACAGAAATTTTATTTTTTCAAACTTTTTATTAAATAAAAATAAATTGAGTATGCAATATTTCAAAATTTCAACTTCTTTTTGGCATCCAAAATTTCAAATATTACTAATTTATTTTACTCCGGTGCCAAACCCATTGTTAAATATTTAATTCATAATTTTTACAAAAATTAGAATAAATAACATTTTATTATCTAAAAAATTTAAATTTTAGCACTATATCTCTAAAATATATAAATGAGACATTTTTTTACAAATATTAAATTTCATAAACTCTATCACCTTTAATCAATGTTTAAATAAAATATTAATAAAAAATTTTACTTTTAAAGGGTATAAATATTTTTTTAAATATATATAATGATTGTATATGATTGAAATAAAGAAATATTAATCTACATTTATATCCTGAAGAATTTTTGACCAACGTGTGAATTCAAACACCAAAATTCCAAATGCAGGACACGTGGTTCACCAGAACAAACGTTTTGAGTTTTTAATTATTTTAAATTTTTAGGCCCACTTTGCATTAAAATAAAATAAGATGGTGCCTACATGCATGGCATTTAATTTAATGATGGTTCCAAGATTACACTAGAATATTGAACATAAACAGGTATCACTCTTCTTATCCTATTTGTTAAAATTAATTAAATAGATTATCCATAATGTTGAAGTCATTAAGAGGTTAATTTTTACTATTCTGTATCACTTTTTTTGCTCTACTTGCTCATAAATTTAGAAGAAATTCTCACGTTAGTCAATCCTTTTTATTACTTTTTATTTTTTGAAATTCAATAAATTAATTATATTTCCTTAATATCTTAAATTTTGAAACACTTATATTTCTCTTTAATATTAATAGATCAATAATATACTTAATTAATTTTAACAAATAGTTTAAGAAGAGCGGCGCCTGCGTATGTTGAATATTCTAGCATAAAACCAAGATTTAAATTAAATGCTATCCACGTGGACACCATCTTGTTTAATTTTAATGCAAATGGCCCAAAAGATCAAAACTAATAAAAATTCAAAACGTTGTTCTTGCATTTGGTGTTTAAATTCACAAAATTTCTCAACTTCATCTAGACATTTCTTGATCCTTCGTATATAACAACTAGCACTAGAATCCGCGTGATGCACGGAGTGAAAAGAAAAAGGAGATAATACAAAAATAATGTAAATAATAATTTTATTGAACTAAATAAAACTAAAATAAAAATATAATAATTATAGGTATTAAAATAACATATTATTAAATAATATTGAAATTAATGTTAAAGACTTAAATAAAGGACTAAGAATTTGAGATTATGATCAAATTCTGCACTTTTTAATTGAACCTATTAATTGAACATTGAAAATGTAATTAATTATTTTATTTTAATTTAATATTTTTTCCTTTTATAATCCTAGTCTATGTATTAGTGCTATTGGATTGGGTAGAAATACTTTATCATAATTATAAAAAATACATACATTTCTTTAACTAATATATGATAGATGCTATTAATTATATTTTATATACTTTCACACTGAAACAATAAGTTAGGATTAAAAAATTGCAAGATAAGAATTAAACACATACCTTATGATCATATCTTCTAAAATACTTCTTTGTAGACCATATTTTTTTGTTGTACAACATGAGTTTCCAAGTTTATCACAAATTAAAATTTTCAGACCATATTTATGAAATTTGACAATTTAAGGAGAAAATTTTTACAAACTTGTTATTAAGTAAGAATAAATTGAGTTTGCAAAAATTAAAATTTTCAAAAGTAAAATAAAATAAGTCTTCACGTTAATTTTAACAACGAAAAACTCAAAAAATTAATACCGCAAAAATTTTACAAAAAAATTATAAAAAACGGAACCACGTTCAAGTGACCCACTTTTATTCTTGTTAAACCATAATTTCTTCACAGACGAGATGGCGAGTAAATAAATAGTAGAAAAATAAAAGATGTAGCAGTCAAAAATTTAGTTTTAAGTTTTTTTTTTTCCTCAACGCGTTTATTTTTAAATTTAGAAGTTGCTTTCTCAACTTCTTTTTTTTTTCCCCTGAATTTTATATTTATTTTATTTTATTATCTAACTCTTTTTTTTTCCTTTTTTCCTTGTGAGAAGCTCTTCTTCCCTGTATGTTGTTTACTTCTTCCCAGGCGAGACTCTCAACTGCCGCACGCCTTCGGGTGGGGCCGTCAATTCTCCATTTATTTGTTTTCTTATTTCTATGTCACGGGCGATTTTGTCAACCATGTCGGCCCGCCCATTGAAGCTCGTCGCAGAATGCCAAGACAGACGAGACAGGTCCCTAACCCAGCTGAGTGATGGTAATGAACCGCCAATCGGATTGTGTTGCATTCCGGCTTGTTACAAGGTCCATGTGACGGTTGACTTGGCAGATCATCAGGACGGCCAGTTACAGAGACAAGAGCTTTACCGAAGAAGTTGGTGCTTGCCGAGAGAAGCGCTTGCGGTCACATCAGGAGTGGGGAAGTAGCTGTGGAGGCTGTAACTAATCAAGCTGCATGCATTCTGTAGGTGTTGGTTGGTCCAGCCGGAAAGCATACCCCAAGCTAGGTGTCAACCCGAAATTGGTTGGCAATTAGAGAGGCTTTCGTGGAGCTGGAGCCAGCTAGGGGGGACCCAGCTGAAGGGAAGCAATGCAAGGAATATGCAGGAGAGAAGTAAGCTAGCCGGCTGTGTTTGTGGAGTTGTTGCCCAAGAAACAAGCTTGTAGAAACTTAATTGGAGAGGGTGATGTGGGAGGATACTTGATACGTTTAGCATTGATAATAATCATTTGAGAACCTGATAATAAGTGAGTTTTGTTAAAAAAATAAAATTAAATAAAACAATTTGATTTAGTGTTAATATAACAAGGTGCTACAGGGTCTTATAGCATGTTATAGTGTTTTGGAGATTGTCCAAGCGTGCTATATTGTGCTCAGGATGCTATAGCACTTTAGTCAATGGAATTAGTGTATTCGAAGGCATTGCAGTGTATTACGGCAAGTTTATTCGTGATTTTTAAGATTTTTTCAAACCCTCGTTTATAGACAGTTTTTTGTACGTGGTGGGTACTGTTTATCAATAAATCAATCAAAACATCACGAGAAATAAATGAAAATGACATGTGGAGCTTGACATGAAATCTGGAAGGGAGATCTGGGAAAGACGTACGAGAAATAAATGAAAATGACATGTGGAGCTTGACAAGAAATCTGAAAGGGAGATCTGGGAAAGACTCCTAAATCAGATTTTTTAGACTTTTAATTTTAATTTTGATTTGACATGATTTAGTTTCTTATATTTTTGGTTTAAATCGATTTCATCCCTGAAAATGTTAATTATTTCTATCTCGATTCCACAAATTTTAATTTCATCAATTAAATTTTTTAATTTTTTAATTAAATTCTTAAATCTTCTGTATTTTTTAATTAAACCCATTTCAATTTACAGATTTTAAAATTATTCCAAATTTTTGAAATATTACAACACATAAAATAATTATATAATATGTCAATCACCCAATGTTATTTTTTTACAAAAATAAAATTTAATATTAAATAAATTTTTTAAATTATTAAATAAGCTCTTTAAATAAATGATACTTTTACAAGTACTCTCTTTTCAAGTTATGACTTAATGGATGGGCAACACTTCCAAAACGTTGAAACAGGAACTGGGACCAAAGTTGATTTTGTACTAGCACAAGGCGTGAAACCATGTTGGTGGTGTACTACCTTTCTTTTCTTTTTATTTTTCTTTCAGAGGAGTACGAGTGTTTGCAATGTTTATGTCCTTATTATCTTCTCATTTTTCAGTCTTGTGGCTTTAATAAGTTTTGGAAATAATATAGTATAATATTTATGTTGGTGTACTACCTTTCTTTTCTTTTTATTTTTCTTTCAGAGGAGTACGAGTGTTTGCAATGTTTATGTCCTTATTATCTTCTCATTTTTCAGTCTTGTGGCTTTAGTAAGTTTTGGAAATAATATAGTATAATATTTATGTTGGTGTACTACCTTTCTTTTCTTTTTATTTTTCTTTCAGAGGAGTACGAGTATTTGCAATGTTTATGTCCTTATTATCTTCTCATTTTTTCACTCTTGTGGCTTTAATAAGTTTTGGAAATAATATAGTATAATATTTATGCTTGTAGGCGCTTTGGACATGAAAGACTTAAGAGATAACACAATTTAATACTTAATAAGTTTAAATATGTCAAAGTTAATTACATTATATTAAACACGTGTAAATACACTACTAGAAAAAGTTGATTTTTTAATTGCAAATCAGTGATTACCTCTTGAGATCACTAATCAGTAATTGCTTAATGACTCATTAGTAACCGAATTACCTCATTTTTTTTATAAAATATAGTAATCAAATTTGTAATCCTTTTTGTGACCGATTTTATAACCCATAGTAAATCGGTCACAAATTGGTCAATAATTTAGTAATCG